GAGAATGAATGCAAGCCCCTCTCATATAACCTGGACTACATCATGGCAAGGGTGACCACTGGAGTTGGTGATCCTGAAGTGCTCCTGAGTCAATGCTCTGCAGGCTGCTTGAACCTGGGGGTAGTCTGTTAACCTTGATGGAACTGTTTCCATAGCAGGGAGAATGCTACCACAAGCCTATGTATTTGTGTTGTTTCAGAAGATGGGTTCAACCCTTCTTAGAGCCCCTCCCACAAAAATGGGCATAATCACATGACCTCACCATGGAAGACAGAAATGCCTACTTATAGTTCCAAGTTCTCAATGCATGGTTACAACAGGAGGTGCCACATGCAATGCTATTCGATGGTAAAAGTTGTTGGCTGACTGGGTGGGTAGTTGTCTCCTAATAAAATATGCTGAAGAAGGAGTCAAGTTCATCTATTTTGGCCACACAAACAGCAGTGGATATGTGTTCCATCTCATCGAGTGGGCCTTGAATCAAATATTGGTTGGTTATTCCTATAAGATTTTTGTCCTTATTTCACCAATATATATTTCAGAGAGGCCACCATCGTAGAATGAAGGGTTTGTAGCGAGGTTGATGTTTACCTTTTTACCTGGTAGCCTGCACAGTACCTTCCAGTACCATGAATACTAATCAATAGAAATGGAGGTGCTAGGAAGGCACCAGCTGGATTTGTCTGTGTTCTGTGAGTTGTATAGGTCTTGTCTTCAGCAGCAGGGCCGAACTAATAGCCCTGGCAATAGCCTGGGTTGTTTGAAATTTCCCATGGAATTCCTTTGATCAAAACCTCAGATGTAAGTTATTCCTGGTACTAGAAGCTTCTTTTGGTGAGGAATGAGATCCAATTGGAGATCAGTCTCCCCTGATATTCAGGAATTTCATTTAGATTGACTTCATATATGTATATATTGTATGAAGCATCTACTATATTAGGTTTTCATACAATGCCACAAATGGCTCTTAGTTTTAGCTGTCCCTTATCATATTCCCTCCCTTTCCCCCTTTTCTCTGCCCCTTCCCTGTTTAATCCTCCCATTCTGGTCCCCACCCATCAACAATCCATAACTATCTATTCCTTTTCCCTTTCCTAGGAAGACCTATCCACCCCCCCCTTGCCCAGTAGCTTACTCTTTACCTGACTTTTGTGGTTATATGGATTATAGCTTGCTTATCAAGGACCTAATATCTAACATTCACATATATTCAAATGCATACAATATTTGTCTTTCTGACTTACCAGAGGATGATTTTTTTTCTAGTTCCATCCATTTAACTATGAATTTCATGATTTCATTTTTTTAAACAACTGGGTAATATTCTATTGTGTAAATGTGTAAACATTTTCTTGATCCACTCATCTATTGATGAGTGGTTGTTTCCAATTTCTGGTTATAATAAATAGAGTAGCAATGAGCATCAGTCTCTTTGGTATGATGAAGCTCCCTTTGGTAGGTATATTACTAAGGAAGGTCCAGTTGGATCTTGAGATAGAACGATTGCCATCTAACTGATGACCACCCACAGGGATTCCCATAGTGGCTGCACAAGTTTTTCACTCCTACTAGCAATGAGTGATTGTACTCTTTACTCAACCTTCTCGGGAACATGAGCTGTCATTTGTTTTACTTGATCTTAGAGCCTAAGAGGTATCAGATGAAATCTCAAAGTAGCTTTGATTTGCATTTCCCTGATGAAAAGGATATTGAACATTTAAGTTTTCCCAGCAATTTAAGTTCCCCTTTTTGAATATTCTCTGGTTATGTCTGTTCCTCATTTTTAATTTGTGTTATTTGTTCCTTTTTAACATTTTTAAAAATTTATTCTTTTCTTAGATATTACATCCCAACTGCAGTTTCCCCTCCCTCATCTCCTCCCAGTCTCTACCCCATCCACTCCTCAGAAAAGGGCAGGCCTCCCATGGATATCAACCGAACGTGGCATATCAAGTTGCAGTAAGACTAAGCACCTCCTCTTATATTAATGCTAGATGAAGCATGAGTTACTTGTTTCTTGATAACTAGGTTTTGAGTTCTTTATATAATTTTAATAATAGCTCTCTATCAGATATGTAGTTGGTAAAAATCTTTCCCCATTCTGTAGCCTCTTACTTTGTCCTAATAATGGTGTCCTTTGCAATACAGAAGCTTTTCAGTTTCATGAGGTCTATTTCTATGGCCTAAAAGGTACCATCTCTAGCTCATAGATGCATTTATTTAACTTACGTATCTAGAAAATGTGATGAAATACAGCATAGCCCCACCACCAGAATAACCTTAAGTAGCATTTCTTTAAGCATTAAGAAGAAATATAGAGTTTTTAAATTGTAGTTTAGCTTTCATAGAGAACTAGAAGCATCATGTTATAATCTTGAGATGGACAGAGGCACTGGATGTTGATTTCCTCTCTGCCTCTGGTGTAAGATGCTGCAAAGTATACGGAGAAGCTTGTATGGACGCCCGGGAGAGAAAGGAAGGCATTAACTTTGAATGTGAAATGCTCCCCTTAGGCTTATGACGGTGCTGATTGGGTAGGCAGTGGAGCCTTGAAGAAGTGAGACCTAGCTGAAAGAAGTCAATGGCAACATGGCATGCTTTGAGGTTGCTGTCCAGCTTTGCTTTGGGTCCTGACTCAGGCTTCTTGTATACAGCAACAATGTGACAACTTCATGTTGCCATTGCCATTGCCACAGCAGAAAGCCACTACCACATCCATGCCTTCTCTGCCACTGTGGACTGGACCCAAGAACAAAATAAAGCTTTACTCCTCTAAGTTAGTCCTCTGGGTTATTGGATCACAGCAATGGAAACAGTAACTGATGTAGAAGGAACTGACAGAAGCAGGAGACAGTGAGTCACAGAGGGTTCTGCTCCACTATCGATGGCTGTATTTGCTATTTCATGGAAAATGAGGAACTCAGGAACCATGGAGATCCATTTACTGCTCTTCCATCCCCCTAATTACCATAGTAATCGAATCTAAGTGTATCATAAGCCTTGTAAGACAATGATACTGTTTATAGAAATAAAGATCAAAAGCCTCTTATGTATGTCTAGATAGTTCCCATTTATGATGCTGTGATTCCTTCTTGTGGGTTTAAGTTTTCATCTGATATGACTCCCAATTA